AAGACCAGCCTGGGCAACATAGTGAGACCTTGTCTCTACAAAAAAAAAAAAAATTAGCTGTGTGTGGTGGCACACTTTTGTAGTCCCAGCTATTTGAGAAGCTGAAAGAGGGAAGATTGTTTGAACCCAGGAGTTTGAGCCTGCGGTGAGTTGTGATTGTATTACTACACTCCAGCCTGGACAACAAAGTGAAACCCTGACTCTAACAACAGTAAAGTAACAGGACCTGTACACTTCTCTTTCTTTTCTTCCCCTTCTCATCTCTCCCTCCTTCTTTCCCTACCTTCCTCCCTTCCTCCTTTTTTCCCTTCCTCCCTCCCTCCCTCCTTCCCTTCCTTCCTTCCTTCCTCCATTTCTTTTTCTCAGCTCCTTGCCATACCTCACAGCTACATATCCAATCAGTCTCACAGCTGTGTCAATTTTTCTTCCACAAGAATTCTGATTTGTCATGTTCTGTGATGGCCCTGTGTCCAGGCCATAGTCATGTATTGTCTGTATTAGTGCAACAGTCTCCTAACTGATCTCACAAGACTAGAAGCTCCCTAAGGGCAGAGATCATGTTTAGAAACCTGTTCTTTCAGGAACTGGCCTAACTCTAGACACAGATTTGGCATTCAATAATTACTCTTTGGATGGATGGATGGATACACAGATGGATGAATGATGGATAAATGAACAGTTAAATGAATGGATGGTAGATAGACGGATATATGGATAGATAGCCAAATGTATGAATAGTATCTGTTTCTCTGAACAGTGGTTTTTCTAAATGACAAATCTTATCTCACTTATTTGCTTAAACTTTCTAAGCAGCTCTCCATCTATCTCAATATAAACTTCAACTTTCTTCATGTGACATACAAGATACTTCACAATCTGGATTCTACTTAGGTTACCTATCTCAGCACTTGCAGCTCTACTGCTTCACTCAAATTCATAGTCATTTTAATACACATTCTCTTGCAACTGTTATCTTTGCTCGAAATTTCTCCCCTGATCAACATTTTCCTTGTTAATTCCTCATTATTTTTCAGGACAAAATTAATATATCTGTGAACATCTATTAAAGATCTCATCCCATTTGTGCTTTACAGCAACCCTGAAGTTGGTAGCATCACAGTAGGTGACAATGAGAAACTATACAGCTGATATTTTAACCCAACCTTCATTGTTTCAAAACCTGGCACACTTACTTGGATCAAAAGTATCACATAATATCCTACCCCTCACCAGGGAATTCCTGAAACATCTGAGTCTCAGTTTCCTCTTCTGTAAAATGAGTTTCCTAAGGCCAATGTCATAGACTTTCTGCCATGGTTAAAAGAGCTAAGCCAGTAATGTGCCTGACTCAGTGCCCTCACATGAGGATGGTCCATTCATGAAACCTGGTATTATTGATGGATTTGCTACTTTGGTGATGGATGGACTCAGTGGCTCTTGGGACTCTTTCTTATATCAAAGAGTTTGCTTCTAATAACCAGGTAAGCACAAGCTTTGTTAAGGTTTCTGCTACTCTTTACTTACTTGAGCATAATGACCAGACTCACCTTCCTGTCCTTTGGAAGCATTTGGTCCCTCTGTTGATGAACAAGAAACCAAGGCGGAAAGATGAGCCAAGCAGATTTGTCATCTTTGCTCTCCTGTGGCTTCCCACCACTGACAGTTGTTTTCTCTAAGGAAGGGAGAAAGATTGCTTTATCCCTTGCCAATTCCAGGAGAAAGCCCATGGAGGGGGTGAAATGTTCACCTGGCATCCACCATCAAGGCACAGGCTCTAATACTCCATCTGTAACTTCTTTTTTTTAACCTCATGTTAACAAGATAGAAGGCTTTTTATTTAATAAACATTTACTGAGCATTCACTGTGTGTGTTCTCCATGGACCAGGCATTCTATTAAGCAAAAGCTACATGGCATTGAATGAAGCAGAGCTATAAAGTAGAGACAAAAATGATAACTGTCTTACAGGATTCTGATGGCAATCAGATGTGTAAACCAGCTGTGCTTCGTGTACTTCAAAGTTCTGCCCTCAAAAAAGTTTACTGAGTGAATAAGTGATACATGTGTGTCAGCAATCCACAAAGTTAAGAGAGTCAGAAACTCAGTGGGTTGGAGAGTAGACAAGAAGAAAGGTTAGCTAGGTGGGGAGTCCTGTTTGTGCTTTTCACTTAAACTAAGGGTTGCTTCAAGCCAGCAGTCTCTGAGAGTAATGAATGAAACTAGCCAAGGAGGGATGAAGGGATTCTTGTAGTTAGATCCATCTCTTCTTATTCTGATGCCTTATATCTAAAAGGTCTTTGTGCATTTCCTTGGCACTCCTTCTTCTCTTTTTCTCTTCTCTTCTCGTTCCCCACTTGATGGCTTCTCTCTTCTTCCTTGCTTGGGCAGAGGCAAGAAGGTTGAAGGAATTTATTACCTTCACTGGAACAGATTTTTCACTTCAAATGGCTTTCCAGTGTTCATACTGTAGTGATGCCTGCTACCCTGCAACATTGCCACAAAGCGTTTTCAAAGATTACTTTTGTTGCTTTTTGCTTTAGAAATGTCCAGCATCCCCACCCCACCTGCCCAACTAACCACTAATGCTAAAGAAAAAAAGAGTGTAGCTAGGCTGGTGTGGTGGTGTGTGCTTGTATTCCTAGGTATTCAGGAGACCACGAGGGAAAGATTGTTTGAGCCCAGGAGTTTGAGACTACAGTGACCTATGACTGTGATTCTGTACCCCAGCCTGGGTGACACAGCAAGACTCTGTCATAATAATAATAATAATAGACAACCTTTTTGGGTCCTCTCCTACTGTGAGAGCTTTTCTGTCATCTCAATAAATCCTGCTTTCTCAAAAAAAAAAAATAATAAGGCTAATAGGACATCTTAAGATTCTGCATCCTATTCTCCTAGTCTCATGAGACTCCCATTAACAAATTAGAGCCAGTCACTACATTGAGTTCTGATTATTTTTCTCAGCAGTGCAAGGGAAAGTTCTCTGAGGGCCTAGAGGTGATCTCAGCAGACAAAAATTCAGAAGTCACTGCAGGCTGATCAGTGGGGATGAGGCATCATCTCCCTAAGGAAAGAGGAGAAGAATTCCTCCTTCCTTCTCCCCCCTCCTCACCCAACCCTCCATTTCCTGAGTCAGAATGGACAGAGCAAGGAGAAGCTCAGTGGTATGGAATGACTTCATTGTAGGAAAGGGGAGTAGAAGAGATAAGATGGCTTCAGGGCTGCCTTCTAGCTCTGTTCATGGTTCTAGACAGTTTCTTCCCAGGTTCTCAGTCCAAGGGATGGAAGCTATCTATGCTCACCTCTTCTTTGCCTGGGTTTTCTGGGACATCTGTCAGTCCTAGTGGGTTGTACCTATGACAGTAACACCACAGGGACTCTCATTTAGTTTGGGGGCCCCTGCATCCAATAGTGAAAAGAACAATTAGTATGGAATTCAGAATGACACAAAACTTGGTTCCAATGCTGACTTTTACACTTCAGGCTGTATGAACCTGCTCAATTCACTCTGTATTGCTGAGCCTTAGTTTCCTCCCCTCTAAAATTAAACAAGTTTCAAAAACGTTGTGTGTATTCAGCCAATATATGCCCTTCCTACTTTTTATTCAAGGTAACAAAGCCTTCAAGTGGAAGATGAGGAAGGAAAGTTTGGACATTGAGTCAATATTAAGGCATTTACTTGAAAGTAGTTTGACCAAATGTCTGCTGATTCATCTGAGATCTGTATTGCAGGAATGGAGATGAGCTGGGTGCTGCGTATATGGCAAATCCATCAAGACGCCAAAAACCTCTCTGTCCTTTTCCTCTTTGCCTAAGTTCTCCTGGGGTCTGCTGAAAACTCTGAAGGTCTTTCCTCAAGAACTCATTCCGTCATCTCTTCTCCATAGGTCATCCAGATGTTGAACAGCCCTGTAAGTCAAGTGTCCGCACCTGGAGTCCAAATTCAGCTGTCAACCCACACACGGTCCCTCCAGCCTGCCCTGAGCCACAAGGCTGCTACCTCGAGCTGGAATTCCGCTATCCCTTGGTCCCTGAGTCTCTGACCATCTGGGTGACTTTTGTTTCCACTGACTGGGACTCTAGTGGAGCTGTCAATGATATCAAACTTTTGACTGTCAGCGGGAAGAACATCTCCCTGGGTCCTCAGAATGTCTTCTGTGACATCCCACTGACCATCAGACTCCGGGATGTGGGTGAAGAGGTGTATGGCATCCAGATTTACACACTGGACGAGCACCTAGAGATTGATGCGGCCATGTTGACCTCCATCGCAGACAGCCCGCTCTGCCTGGAGTGTAAGACCCTACAGTATAAGGTGGTCCGGGACCCTCCTCTTCAGGTGGATGTGGCTTCTACCCTACACCTCAATCGGAGATTCGTGGACAAGTAAGTGCCCTCTCTAAGTAGGGAGATGATTGAATAGGAGAGCTGTGGAGGCACATGAGGAGGGTCAGACAGGCCTGAAGAGTAAGGAGAAGGTTCATCACAGGCAAGCTCTCTTCTGGGGATTGTAACTCAGCATTAGGTGTAATGTTGTCTTAACATAGCAGATTGATATGGCGGGAAGAGCGATGGGCAAGAAACAAGGATTCCTGGACTTGGTGGCTACGTTGATGTGTGACCTTAAGTCTCAGCAACCTCTCTGAAACTTAGTTATCCCAACAGTAAATGAAGGAGGTTGGATAAGATTAGCAGTGAGGAAGTCATTTATTACTAATGAAAGAGGAAAAATAGAAGTTTGCTAATTATTTCCCTTTATATTAAACTAAAGAAGAGTCATGCATCTGACTGCTTTTTCAGTGGGTGAAAATGGGGTGAAGTTACAGTATGTTGGCCGGGAGTTGGGTAAACTCCTGGGTATTTGCACAGAATTTTTTTCTAGAAGGTGAACATCAACAGTGACAGTGCTTATTTTTGTTCTATTTCCTGAGGTAGAATAGAGGTTTGAGCCCATGTGATCCCTAAGGGCCTTTGCAGCTCTATGTTTTCATAATTATCTTGGGATGCTCACTGCTTTTAGGTGAGGTAGTGCTTGTCCTTAGTGATCACTTCTCAAGCTACCTCTCTGTCACTTCTGCCCCAAACATTCTCACTATTTTGCTTTATGAGGAAGGTCACCATACAGTGAACTCTTTAGTGCTTTTTATTATCTACCACAAAATGGGCTAAGGTCCTTACATCTTTTACTCATTTCATTCTCTGCAACCACAGTCCTATTATTCTTATTTTACAAAGAAGGAAACTGAGGCTAAGAGATGCAAAGTCGCTTGTACAAGGTCACACAGGAAGCAGTGAAATAAGAATTGGAATTCCATCCTGAATTGTAAGCCAGTGAACTCAACCAACATTCAGTTAAAGATGGCATTCCAACTTCTATGTACTCTAAAAAATGATACAGCCTTAGATGCCTAATTTGGATACTAAGTTTATGCAGTCAATCACACAGCATTTATTGAACACCTGCTGTGTGTAAAAGACATTGAAGTATTGGAAAGAACAATAGTTCAGAAGTTAGACCCTCTGTGTCTATCACCAACTGGTCTACTTACTAATGTTAGATAAATTAATCAGTCTTGAACCTCAAGTCTCTCCTCTGTACAATGAAAATTTTGAAGTCAATTGTTTCTACAGGTCTTTTATGGCTGTTAATGTGATATGAAATGGCATAAGACACAATCCCTGCTCTCTCTGTTTGAAAATATTTACTAAGCCAATCATTAATGGAACCCAAGTTCTGGAGGAAACTTTTAATCTTTTTAAGAGACAGAACCACTTTCAAACACTTTACCAGCACTTCCTATTACATGCCAGCAATTAATGTGCACATCACAAGCAAACTCTTCCCCATTCATTGAATCAGAGATGAAGAACATCTGTTGAAGAACTCAGAGGAAGCACTTGGTTTGTGTTTGAGATGTACTTAAACTGTAAAGGATGGCCTTGCTTAAAATATTCCATAATCCTGTCTCTTCCATCTCCTCACGTGTCTAGAGTGGTAGAATTCTGTAAATATGTATCCACTTAAAATTTCTTTAGACAGCAATGGAGGAAAGACATAATAGATGTCTTAAAGCCTCAGTTTAACTCAGATTTCAATTTTTGCTGCAAGTTATAAGCCTATGAGTGCTGACATGAGTTGATAAGCATGAAATGGTAAAAACTAAACTGAAGAAGTAAAAACACTCTTAGTTCTATTCTCAGCTAAGTTACTAACTTGCTCTGTAATCTTAGGCTAGTCACTTATCCTATCTGGTCTTCAGAGGCCTCAACTCTACATTGAGGAGGTTGCATTAGATTAGTGGTTCTCAAACTCAGTTGCAACCAAACTCAGTTGCATATTATAAAAACTTGGGATATTTTAATTCAGGGCATTGCTTGAGTCTCACCTGTATCCCCTCTCCATTCCCCATCCCTCCTCCCAGGTATTTATTTAGTTGGTAAGAATAAGGCCTATCAGAACTTTTAAAATCTCACCAGGTGATGATGATATACAGCCCAGTTTAAGAACCATGGCACTAAAATTGGCTCTCAAAGTGTGACCCCAGATCAACAATATCAGTATCAACTGGGAACCTACTTAAAAGGGCCAGAATCTAGGCACAAGTTCAGCCTACTGATCAGAAACTCTCAGTGCAAGACCCCTCCAGGTGATTCTGATGCTAATTAAAATTTAAAAGCCACATTTTCCTAAATGATCTCTAAATCCCAGGAATCTCCAAGTTCTCTTTCAGTCATACAAATATGTATTAGAATAGTTAATGTATCAAAGTCTGTGCTGGGAACAGTATAAGGATGACTCAGACCAGTCCTTTTCCTGAAAACACTCAACTTGAGTGCAAAGGACCTTACCCACTTCACAAAAGTGCCAAGTATTGGGTCAGTTCTATTTCCAAAGTCTCCACAATTCAGGTCCACAGTCTTATTTATGTACCATTTGTTCTTCATTCACTCACCAAATATTTTTGTAGCTTCTATTATGTGACAAGCACAAGGGCTAGACTGAGGCATTGATTGGCCTTCCTCTCTGTCTCTCTTGAGTCCCAAGAAGTTTATTGGGGACCTTGACTGGGTTGGGCTGGGTTTCATAATCTGAATGTTCTTTTAGACTTAAAGAAAAGGAAAACACATCATTCCAAATCAATGTACCACTCCAATTCCTTTATCTCTTGGTAATTTGAGTTCTAAACCCCACCACAAATACTTCCTTGTGTGTGTGTGTATGTATATTTTGCTGCCTTCACATTTTTTCCATATCAAATAAATTGGCTCTTTTACAAGTTCTATATAAAGTCTGTTTTGGAGAAAAAGAGGAGAGAGGGAAAAAAAATGCTTTCTTTTTCTTCCCTTACTCAACCCATTACATGATTCCCTTTGACCTTTGTCTTCATTTTTTTCCTCTCAACAAAAATATTTATTCTTTCTGTTATCTACACTGGAGATAGTTTCCCAAGGTATGACATTGATGAAGAGAGAGCCTTCTGTGCTTACTTCATGGAAACTTCTAGTAGACTGATTACTTTTGGCTGGGACAAGGAAGAAATGTGGATCTCCATCTCCCTTTCACAGAAACCCCTCCAATGAATGGGAACTGACACTATCAAAGGAAAAGTAGCAACACTAACTCTGCTTCTAACACCATGTGACATCAAGACACATTGCATCACCTCTTTGGGCCTCAGTTTCCATATCTGTAAAATAAGAAGACATTCATTAAGCTCTTCCTTGCAGACAGACACAGAGAAGCGTCTGAGGAGACAAGTGAGCCATACACCTTTTTGTTGTAAAAGGAATTCAACAGGGGTTGTCTGTAAGAATCAGTACCCAGAGGAAACCTCTCTGGCTCCAGGTGTCCTACTGAAATATGTTCAATAACAATAATAATCACAACTATTTAGTAAGTATATACTCAGTTGTACATGCCTTGCAAACACTTATGAGACAGTTGAGAAAGCTGAAACTCAGAGAAGTGATTAGTTTAACCTCATACAGCTAGCAATGACATAGACAGGCTTAAAGCCCAAGTCTAATTCCAAATTCCACCTTCCTAACCACTACCCACACTACCTCCTACTGCAATAATCTGAAGGCAGAATTTTAGAGCTGAGAAATGCATCCAATAAGTTCTAGATATAGCATGCAGAAGACAGAATTACAAATCAGAGGCCACTAGTCCACAATCAGCTCCTGTGACTTACCCTTGGGGTCCAATACACAAACCACACAACCAGTTCTTTATGTGAAAAAGGAGCTGTGAAGAAAAAGCTTCTGATTCTCAACTTGACTGTCAAGTGCTTCTGCAGTGAGGATAATGCTCTTTGGCCTACATGGAATCTCCAGATTTCTCCAGGAAGTAAAGACTCTGTACAAAACTAAGAAAGTGAATTATAAAGCAAACTGAGAAAAGTGAATAGCAGCTCACTCTCATTATTCACCTACTCATCTATTCATCAGTTCATTCAACAAATATTCATTGGGCATCTATTGGGTGTATTCTTTAGTAAGTGATGCTCCAGTAATTTCTGGACCTCAAAATGCTCATGCTCTGTGAGAAAAGAGAAAGGCAGGCAAGCAGTGGCATTGCAATAAAATATTGCTCTGATGAAAGAACCAGAAATATAAAAGTTTGAGGTTTCTAACACAAATTTGGAAGAGTTTAATTCTAGGCTTAGAATTAGAATATGAACTCTTCAAAGTCTCGGTCTTTGCCTGTTTGTCTACTGGCACATTCCAAGAACCTCGAACAATTCTAAACAAAAAGTAGGCACTCATTAAATATTTGTTCAGGATCTGGAAAGAAGGCATTTGGCATTTGAAGAAAAATAGTGAAGGCATAATTTACTAAGCTGGTACTATATGAAGAGCACTTATTAAGAGCTTCACATAGATAATCTCTTTTTGATTTAATGATCCTCAAACCCCCACAATGGAGGCAGTCCTGTCCTCGGATTATAGATAATGACCTAAAACTCAGAGAAGGCATGTGGATGACAGAGTCTATCAAGTGGCAAAATTGGGGTCTGTACATAGATCTATCAATTCTAAACCTAGTGCTCTTAATCACTCATGCTCTGGTTGAACAAATATTTTTGTGTTCTCTGCTTTGTTTATGCCTCTTTCCTCTCAGAATCCTGGATTTAGACCTAGAAATAGTCTTAAAAGTCATCTCTCCCACTGGCTTATTTGTGTATCCAAATTTAGTCATCTATTAATTCTTATTTCACTTTCAGACCTGTAAAGTTGCCAACACAATCTATATCTATTTTACCTCACCTCCTTGGCATTCTCAATATAATTCTTGTGGGAAATGAATAAACATAAGGAAAGTAGATATTTATATGATCTGGGTGGACATTCTTTTGAGTTCAGATTTTACAAATCAGATCCAA